AATCAGCTAAACAAAATGTTCGGATCATGGCTTTTGAATTTAGCTCTTTGCTCTAAACCGTTGTTATTGAAAATGCCACTACGGGGAGCATTTTAGAATTATTCTTTATTTTACCCATAGCGTTATGTTCTTCTCACGCCCTCTTCTTTTGTCAGTATTCTAATTTTTCTTCTCATCCTAACTTTTTCTCCCATTTATCTCATCATTTATTCTAAACCAAATCAGTAGTTTTTTTTAATGATTAAATTTGAATATGTCTCGTCAAAAACATACATGATACTGAAAAAAAACTAATCAGCACTATGTGTATACCTTACAAAAAAAAAGTGCTTTGTATTGTTGGGACTGCGCGTGCCCTCACCCCAACCCCGCATTAGTATGATATTGTCCGCTCTGGGCCAAGCCCTCACGGATTTGTTTTTGGACACCTCCCAAAAGGCCTCATACTAATGGGGTTGGGTGAACCTATATATTTTGGTTCATTTACTCCTACTCATCCGGTGTGGGACTTGGAGGAATCCCAACAAACCTCCCCTCAACCAAGGACCACACAATTTCTGACCTCCCCTCCAGCGGTAATCCATTTTTCCTTTTTATCTGCTAACCATCTTGCACCGCCGCACACTCTTTGCGGGACACGCCGCCCGACCTCCTGTCGGGAAGACTTTCGACGCAAGGCTTGAACCGTAGATCTTTCCTTCGCTGGGCTAACATCATTTGATCCGCCAAATCATCTTGTACCGCCGTGGCTATAACTTCACGGGACACGCCGCCCGACCTCCTCTCGTCGGGAAGACTTTCGACACAAGGCACCACCTGCAGATCCTCTTTCTTGGTCTTGGTCCTAGTTACACCGTCACACCGAGATTTTTTCCACACTGCACAGTCCGCTACTCCCGCCCGCAAGAACCTGGGCTCCGATACCACATGTTGGGACTGCGCGTGCCCTCACCCCAACCCCGCATTAGTATGATATTGTCCGCTCTGGGCCAAGCCCTCACGGATTTGTTTTTGGGCACCTCCCAAAAGGCCTCATACTAATGGGGTTGGGTGAACCTATATATTTTGGTTCATTTACTCCTACTCATCCGGTGTGGGATTTGGAGGAATCCCAACATGTATAGTATTAATTAAATCAAAGGACGTCATGTTTTGCATTTATTTTTTTTCTTTGGATTTTTAATTGAAGGGATAGCCAATCGATACCCTATGTTTTTTAAACAAAGGGATTTTTTAAAATTAATTTAATTAAAATATACATTGATTAATGTATATGTTGAGAGATGTTTAAAAATGTAATTTGCACTACAAAGAGTTGTTTATTACTCCGTAACAAATAAGCTTCCCAGACAATTTTTCTTTAATAACTATTTCCTCAATTTTTTAAAGTATTCCTCCTTTATTTCTTTCTCTTTATTTCACATATTAGTCAAAATAAGAATCCTCTTTAGAAACAAATGGAGTAATAAATTTAGTCGGTCAAAACAGTCAATTCGATCAATCATTCAAATCAGTCAATGCAAATAGCAAACAACCGACAACTAATTGTTGATCTTCAAACAAGGCCTAAACATTATACGGAATACTTTTTAATTTAATTTCTACATTTTTTAGGATTTACTAGAAATTGTATAAGCTCAAGGTAAGCACCAAGTAAATATCTAGTGCATTATTCCTCCCATCTTAATTCAAATTTTCTCTTCATTATTGGTCAAACTTTAACTACTTATTTTACTCAATTCTGTTACTCATTTAATAAAAAAATAGTTATGTCACATTCTACTTTTAAAAGTTTTAATATAGTTTTTAAATATATGGATCAAAATATAATGTTTTTTTTTTATTTTACTCTAAATTTCATATAAATTTATTTAAAAACAATTTTCATTCAAACATTGTAAACAATAATATACAACTAACACTACAAGATTTGGTTCAATTTGCGACGGAATATCTGCGACGGATTAATTCCGTCACAAATTGCGACAGATTTTGCGACAACAAAAATGAATTTTAAAATTTGACAAAATCTGCGACGGAATTGGATTATCCGTCGCAAACAGTAGATCTAGTATTTCCGTCGCGGAGGCCGTCGCAAAACTTCGACAGGACCATTATTCCGTCGCAAAGTTAGAAAATACGACAATTTATTTGCGACGGATTTATTCGTCGCAAGGCCGTCGTAATTTGTTAATCTACGACCAAAATGGTGAGTTTGCGACAGAAAGTTTCCGTCGCAGATTTAGCGAAATTTTGTAGTGTAAGAATGAGATTGAGAGAGAGTATAAAATGTACATTTTTGTAGTTTGTACTTTGCATTACTTCCTCCATCCCAACAAAAGTTCTTAGTTTAATTAGGCACAAAGTTAAAGAAAAGTAAAATTTTATGGTTAAAACTTAAAAGTGATGCAGGAGAGAGAAAGATTGTAAGCTACTCTCTCCGTCCCAAATTATAATGTCTGTTTACTATTCACAGGGTCAAACTTTATTCACTTTCTTTCTCTATTTTCGTTAGCAATTTGATAAAATAAAATATTATTGTCACTACTAGTTTTGTAGATCTTTTGATGTAGTTTTTTAATATGTAATTTTTATTTTTTAATTCTATACCATTTGTTATATAAAATGGTTTGAAAATAATTTCAGTCAAACATCGTAAACCGAAACAGACGTTATAAATTGAGACGGAGGTAGTACTAAATATTTTCTTAAAAATAAAAAGAGAAAGAAGTCACTTTTTTAAGACGTGCAAAAAAATAAGGATTTTTTTTCGAACCAATAAAATACTACGGAGTATTTTTTTGTAAACTCAATAGTCGCACTTTATTTGATGGTGAAATTTTTAGATTATTGAATCATTTTTATAATTTTTTAGAGAAAATCTTAATCAAATTTGGGTGCCTTTGACCATAATCCAAATTTGGATCTAAAATATGAAAAACAAATATTCATATTTCACCTAAATGTGTCTATCTAAATGTGATCATTGAGGTGTATGGCTTTTGAAAAAGATAGGAAAGTGGGGTTATGGGCTTCAAAGAGGCTCCAAAAGTCCAATCTAAACCAGACAATAATATGGCATTAGAGTCTCAATCGCAATCAATTGCGGGCATGTTGTGGGCACATGTTTTAAAGTGGACTGTGAGAAGAAGATGATGATAATGATAACAGATGAGCCCAATTATACTGCCCACGTGGATGTGTTCCCCTCTTTAACGGCCCATTTACCTAGTGATCCATTATCTCTCTATTTCAATCATTTCAAGCACCGCCGCCCACATCCTCATCCTCTCCCTCTCTTCTCAATTTCAATTTTCAAATCCTTTCGGAAATTTATTTGAAAAAATACTTAACTACAATTATAACATATTTTATAAATAAAAATAAACTATTCAACATTTTCATACTAATGTACTCCCCTCGTCCAAAAAGACCTTCATGTTTTGGTTTTTTAATCAAACTTTTACACTCTTTGACTGTGAATTAAGCATAATTTAAATAAATAAATTTATAATATTTGATATATCAAAACTACGTTATAAGAAAAATATAATAATATTACATTTACATTATAATTTAATATGTTTTTTATAATTTGTAATCAAAGAATATTACTGTTTGACAAAAGAAGTCAAAGTAGAATATTTTTTCTGACATGGAAGTAGGGATGACAACGGGTCGCATTCGGGTCGGATAACACTATACCCGAACCCGACTTTTAAAACCGAACCCCAAAACCTGACCCGAAACCCGGTCTTTTAAGCCAAAAACCTGACCCGATCCAAACTTGACATTTCAACTTGAAACCCGAACCCGAGTTTTAACCAATAATCAATTCGACGTACCCCAATAATTTAAAAAAGATTAAATCTATTTTTTTTGTGTCTCATTTTTTATAAAGGAATTATAAAAATGATTATAAAGGGCATACTTAATATAGTAGCACTTTGTCAAGAGATTATACGAAGTGCTCGTTATATCCACACCCGACCCGACCCGATGTCGGGTTCGGGTAAAAAAAATTCGGATCGAGTTCGAATTATTTTATTCTCAGATCGGGTTCAGATATTTTAGTGGTCGGTCGGGTCGGTTAAGCTCGGGTTCGAATTGAATTGGCATCCCTATATGGAAGTAGTATAGATGGTGAAATTTCTTGCCCTTTTTCATAAAGATGCTCATGCCCAATCTTACACTTAGATTTTCAAACTTTTCTAAAATTTGTGAAGTCCAAGTGTTAATTTCTTTGGAAGAGAGGATTACAATTCTAGCAACTTATTTCACGAAGTATCACTTCAACAATGACAACATATAAATGAAGACCACAAAAAATGCTTGAGGTAAAGGGGTGGATAGATGTGACTCCGTTCAGAGAGGAATGCTTTGAGATATGAGAACAATTTAAGGATGTGTATCATCCTCATGTCCCTCAACATCAATAGTCATGAAAAAATAAATTGAGCTTTAGTCATGAAATTTTACACAGTACTTGTAGGTTCTTTGTTTAACATAGTTGTGTCTCAATACGGGTTCCAGGAATCATACTCAAATATTACTCCATTGACAATCATAGACTTACCAACAATGTAACGCCCACCAGCATCGTTTGAGAACAATTTAAAGCTCAAACGAATGGCATACCCTTAAAACTATTATGAGACTAATATTGTGAGTTCATATAAATGGTACTCCGTATTAAACACAATACCAACTTGTCTCGATTTCAAAATTGCCAGCTCTCCAAATATATTTTCGAGAGAACCGTGACCACTACCAGTGGAAAAAATTCAAATTACAATTTTAATTCTATATGAGTTTCGAAAATATTTTACACATTTAAATTGAATGTATCTGGAATTGTGATCTTAATATCAAGAAAATTATGATAGGGTGATGTATTATAACCAACCCCAATGGAAAAATTCAAACTTTTTAAAATCTAAATTTGTAAATGGATGGCGATAGCATGAAATTCAAATTTTATAAAAAGTCTTATATGAGGTCAACATTGTTTAGTGCGGCAATGAATTTGTTCATCTAAAGACAAGAAGTGAGTGCAACATGTGTACGTGTGATTGTATTATTACATAGTATACATACGTTATACCCGAAAAAATACGGTTCGGTCGTCAATTCATCTTGGGCACTAACCGTAACTTCGATCAGCTCGATCGGTCTTCAGTTTGGTTGCTCTTGAGAATCGGTTCCTGGTTGCCCGATTGTAGGAGTGGATGGTGGAGCAAATCTGGTTCATCTTGTGTTGTGACACCTAGATTGTTGGCATTATTAGTACCTGGATTTGAACCCGACCCGGTGTTGAACAAGAGCCCCGGACTTTGGGCTGCCGATGTTGATGGCCTAAGAAGATGAGGACCAGCGAAATGGGCCGGCCTCATTAACGCTGACGGGGAAGCGGCGGCGGAGAAGAGGTCCAGCCGGCGAGAGAAAGGATCCGCTGGGATTCCGGTGAACTCCTGGACCATCTGCCGGAAATTCGCGATGTCCGTCGCGAGCACGGTGGTGGGCGCCCTCCTCGAGGCCCGACTCCGTTTCTTGGGGTTCTTCGGAGCCGCAGAGCCCGACCCGGGTCCTCGATTCTCAACCGCCGGTTGCGCCGACGATGACGGGTCCAGAAAGTGGCCGTTTTGCTGACGGGCCCCGACGAGGATCGGCGATGGCGATGAAGTAGGATCAGGCACCAAATCGGCAAGGCCAGTGGCGAAACCGGGTTCGGATCCTCCGAATAGCAACCCGGCGAGACTAGGCCCAGGCCCAATCAAATCATGCTGTTGATTATTATGGTGATTATTGTTGAAGTATGGAGAAGTGAGAGTGGGCGGGAGTGACGACAGAAAGAGCTGAGATCCGGCATTAGATTCAAAATGATCAATGAAGTAACCGGAAATCGGGTCTTCTCCTCCGCGTGATGAATCGTATTCTTCATTATCGCCGCCGCCGCCGCCAGAGGAACTGTTTCCGGAGTCCATATCATCAGCCTTAATAAATTTTGTGTCTGCTTGCTTAATCCTCCGTATATTGCAAATTTGCAGGGGTTTTGAAAGGGAACGGATTAAAAGAGGAAAGCGGGCAGACGAATAATCCCACACGATAATATAGCTGCCGTATTAATCCTCACACGATAATACGGAGTACGGACTACTAATTACGATTAATAATTTGGAGATGAATAAATTTAGGAATAATACCTGAACTTTAATTGAACTTTCAATTTGATACCTAAACTTCAAACCTTTCGAAAAAGTACTTGATCTTTTACCATCTTTTGAGTAAAAGTCCATTAACCCATTACCGGATGATCAACAGGTCACTCTAAGCAAAAAAATTTGAACAATGCTACGTTCACAAAAAGGATTGGTCACAAACTCCACAAACTTACTATTTATGCTTTAAATTTTCATTCTAAAATTATATTAGACTATTTACTTTTTTATTGAAGTTCGCAAATAGTAAGTTTGTGAAGTTTGTGATGATTGTGTTTGTGAACCAAGCATTTTCCAAAAAATTTCTTTGTTTTGTTTTGTTTTATGTTTTTCTTTCTTTTTTTTGTTTATTTATCTATTTCGTTATTGTTTCCTTTGTCTTTATTATTTGTTCTTTCTTTTAACTGCGTTATATTTAATCAAGTTAATTAAACGAAAAAATCAAACCGTACGAATAAATTTTTTTGTTTTTTTGTTTGTTAACTTTTTTTGTCTATTTTTAATTTTTATTGTAAAAAATTAAATAAAACAAGTCAATAAAATATGCCCTAAATAAATACATAAAATGAAAAAGAAGAAGACGAGAGAATGTTTAAAAAACATAGAAATGTTTTTTAGAAACTCTTACTTCATTTTTTTAAAAAAATAATTATATAAAAATAACCAACAAAAAATTGAAAGCAAACAAAAAATATAAGAAATTTTTTTATAAAGAATAAAAAAGCAAAGCAAACAAAAAAGATGGTTATTTAGACAAAATATGTAAAAAAAAACTTACAAAAAGTTCACAAAATAACACATAGCCAAACAACATGATAATATTAAAATATCAAGAATTAAAGATAAAACATAATAAAAAAGATCAAAAACAAAAAAGTAACACACAAGATTGAAAATATTTTCTCTTGTCTTATTATTTTCACTTTTATTTATTTATTTAGGGCTTGTTTAATTCATTCGTTTTGTTAAATTGTTTACAATAAAGCTTAATAAATAGACAAAAAGCATTAACAAAAAAAACTTAAATAAAACAAAAAGAAGACCTATGGTTTGATTTTTTTGCTTAATCAAATTGATTAAAAATAAAATAACACGATTATTAATAGAAAATATAAAAGATAAAGGACAAAATAAAGAAACAGAGAAATAAAAGAAAAAAAACAAAAACAAAAAACAAAATAAAACAAGGTCAAAAGTAAGAAATGAGAAAAGGAAGAAAATGAATAAATAATAAATAAATATTTAAAAAGGGAACTAAAAAATATAGCAAACAGAAACAAATATAGAAAATTAAAACAGTGAAAAAAAAATTTAAAAAGTAAAAAAAGAGTACAATATGGAGAAAAATAAGGTAAAAAGGGAAAGAAATAATATAAAGTGAAAATGAACAAAAAAAATAAGTAAAGATTTAAAAAAGGATCAAAAGGAAAAAAATGGAAAAGAAAAGATGGAAAGAAAAGCGAATCAGAAAAAATAAAAGAAAGAAAACACAAAAAATCAAATTAAAAATGGGAAAAAGAATGGAGAGAAAGTAACTAAAGGGAGTGTGTGAAAAAGAAAAGAATATAATTTATGGGAATGTAAAGAAAAGAGAATGATGAAATGAGAGTCAACGTGAAAAATAAAAATTTGGATTTTCCAATTTGGCCCAAAGTGACATGTTGGTCACCTGGTAATGAACTAATAGACTTTAGTGAAAAGATAAAAAAAATTCAGATACTTTTTTGAAAGGTTTTGAAGTTTAGGTAACAAATCAAGATTTCAGTGAAAGTTCAAGTACTATTCTTGAAATTATTGCACCCAGAACCGGTCAAAGAAGACGCTCAAATACTCAACCGGTCAAAGTCGATTTTCCAGGATGGGAGACCTGAATCATCAGTAAAAGGGTGCACGGTTGGCTAAAAACATGACCGGTATACTTCGGATAGTATACCGGTTAAACTACTTTATCGCCACATTCATTCCCCGATTTCAGTAAACTCATCCCTCAGAAACTACCTGGTATGGTTTCTAGGGTTGGCGAGTGTCGACAGAGAAGAATCCAAAGAAGCTTGGACCGTAATGACCATGATCGGCAGAAAATCATGGACATGCTCGACCAATCCATCCAAGGCAGTATGCGACAAAGGAGCCACCTTCCTCACTAGGTGACAAGGCAGCTAAAGGACAGATGTAATCACCTCACATCATCCGAGAACGTTCCATGCGCAGTGCCCTGTCTCCTTTAGCTTAGTATAAATATGGCGGTAACCTTCGAATGAAGGGATTCAATTTCTTCTTTCTAAAACTCCCCTGTAAAAGCTCTCGTGCATTCTCTAACATTATATTAATTGAGCTACACGTGATTCCACCTACAATCCTCCTGGTCACTTTGTGTGTTTTTAGCTTTTTACTTTATCAAATCAAATAAATAATCCTAGACCCGATCAGGTACTGTTTACCCAGTTAGATAATTTACACCATCAGGGTTGACAATATATGAACCCTGAACATCTTAAATGAAATCTGAACCCGAACTAAGTCGGATCTAATCTCGATATAAAGTTTCCAATCTGATGGAAATGTTCTTATATTGAATAAAGATGACAATCCAATCTAAACCCGTGCATAATCAAGTGGCTGAATCTTAAATTAAATTCGAATAGCAAAAATAAAGTATCCAAACTTAGCTCGTCTTAAACTTTAATACTCCGTATAATTTTTATATAACCATATTTTATTTTTAATTTCCAAATAGAACAATTTATTGGAAGACAAAGGGAATACTCCTTCCGTCCAAAAAAATCGTTCTTGTTTAGTATTACGCCTCTCGATAACTCCAATTTGTTTTCGTATTTTCATTGATTATTTGATAAAATAAAATATTTTTGTTACCTCTTATTTTGTATAGTTTTCGATATAGTTTTTAAATATAATTTTCTTATGTGTTATTTCCTTACCAATTTTCAAATAAAATCATTTTAAAATCTACAGAGTTTTGCATGTTAATCAAAATAAGAAATTCTTTCTGGGACAGAAGGAGTATATAATACAGAGTATAATACTAGTCCGTAATCTAATGAAGGAAGACAAAGAGAATACTCTTTCCGTCCAAAAAAGTCTTTCTTGTTTAGTATTACGCCTCTCGATAACTCCAATTTGTTTTCGTATTTTCATTGATTATTTGATAAAATAAAATATTTTTGTTACCTCTTATTTTGTAGAGTTTTCGATATAGTTTTTAAATATAAATTTTTTATGTGTTATTTTCTTACCAATTTTCAAATAAAATCATTTTAAAATCTACAGAGTTTTGCATATTAATCAAAATAAGAAATTCTTTTTGGGACAGAAGGAGTAAATAATAGAGAGTATAATACTAGTCCGTAAAATCTAATGATGGATAGGTAGAGAGACACTCCGTTATAACGGATATAACCAGAGGATGCTATACTGGGTGGGTCGTCGTTGAATATGGAGATGATGGGGTGGTGGGGTCTACACCCGAACAAACAAAGTATAATTGCCGTTAGGTAGCAACTCGGGTCAGTCAAACATTCACATGGGCACACTCCGGTCAGTCAAATCAAACTAAATTTTCAAAATAGTACTCTCTCCGCACCCCTAAGATGTTCTCATTTTGACATTTGGTAGTTTTTAAGGAAAGTTGAAAAAAGGTGAAAGTTTACCATAATACCCTTAATGAAAAATGGGTGGAGTGTATTAAATGAGGTGGGTGAGGTGTAATAAATAAAGTAAGTGGGAGTAGTTGTGGTATTTTAATTGTTAAAAAATGAAATGAGAAGATCTATTGTGGACAAAGAAAAAGGACTATTGAGAAGATCTATGAGGGACAGAGGGAGTATTTATAAATAATGCATTTTTTTATTGAATTCTGAATAAGTTCTACTTCGTATTTATTTGCATAGTTCTTTATAATTAAAATTTATTTTCAGGTAATCTTTCATAAATAATATTACAAATATTTTAGTATTTGTATCATTTAAATTTAAAATATATTCTCGAAATAATCATTTTTATACAATTAAATAACTTTTTAATACCATGAAGGATATCTCAAAATCTAAATGCATCTTGATTTTAGATGAATTTTTAAAATCTTAATTGCATGCCATAAACTTTTTAAATTAAAAAAAGCTACAAAATCTAGATTGAAATGTTGAATACACAGAGTTTGGGCCCCAAAGGCCCGGAAATTTTATTCGCTCTCCGGAATTTTGAAAAGGACCGTTTATCAGGTCCATTTAAGGTCTCCAACCCTGTGGTATCCTATTTGGGCCTGTACAAAACATATTGCGTATTTGGTTGGATCCAATTTAATTGAGAGTTAACATTTAAAAATAAAATGAGGGTAAATTAATTTAAGTTATATTCTAAGTACTGCTACGTTTTCCTCAAAAAACAAATAAACAAAAAAAAAACAAAAAATACTACTTTCCTCCGGAAACGATCTTCTCACATAATTCTTTTTTCTTTGTATAGAAAAGATCTTTTTATTATCTTTTAAACAATTATTCCGTTAATAATGTTACTATCTTCACTTATTTTATTTATCAAATCCCATCTACCTCACTAAACATATTTCACCTACTTTCTATAATGTTATTTTTACTGTTTCCCATTTTTTTACATCTCCTAAAATTTGGTGAAAAGTCAAAATGAGAGCATCCATGTTGAACAATGTACACATAGATTAGAGAGTATAAAAAAGGATGACACGCTATCCCTTGGCCCCCTCCATCCCAAAAATATAAAAAATAATTTTTATATTCTTTTATAAAACATATAATTTCTTGATAGAACAAAACTTAATACTCATTTATGACAATAGGCATAATAAATGATGCTCCATGCCTCCCAAATTTAATTGTACATTTACTATTTCTAAATTCAAATTTAATTCATATTTTTCTATTTTCATTACTCATTTGATAAAATAATATAGTCATGACACCTCTTGTTCTATATAGCTTTTGATGTCATTTTTTAATATGTAAATTTTATTTTTTAGTTTCACTCCAATTCTCCAGTGCTTGTTTACTATTCACATGGCCAAACTCCATTCACTTTCTTTTTCTATTTTCGTCAGCAATTTGATAAAATATAGTATTATCCTTACTACTAGTTTTGTAGATCTTTTTATGTAGTATTTTAATTTGTAATTTTTATTTGTTGAACTCTATACCATTTGTCATATAAAGTGATTAAAAACATTTCAGTCAGACATCGTAAATTGAAACATGCACTATAAATTGGGAGGGAGGGAGTACTATTTATAAGATACACCGCCATGTATTGTAACATAATCAATTTTGAGAGGTGCTCATTGCTCGTATCCAAAGAGTGTTATGAATCGATCTAGCTGTGTATCCAAAGTAGTGAATCTATCGGCACCATAGCGTTGGACCTAACAGCCAGCCTAGCAACCCCCGTCATCGTGGAGGTTCCGTAGTGCGTCATGAGCACCGGCCTAAAGCCGCATGCAGACCTTTTGATTCACTGAACTGAGATAAATGAATGCATATTTTTTCCTCCAGTGTGCCCCGCCCAGTTCACTGGGTTGTTGGCCTACCAAACTAATTTCCCTGCCACACAGTGAAACTCATTCGACCAACGAGAGTTGCTCGAAGAGGGAGTTGGGTAAAACAAACTCTCTCAGTTTACGCTTGAGTTGCTACCGTTTCACTGGCTCTTGTAATCACCGGCTTTCAAGGAATGGGAAGGCTAACTGCTTGCTGGCTGGGAGCTGTATGAGCGGTAATGTCCTGGTACGGATCCATGAGAATGGAAATGGCCTTGTTGTACTTGGGATCAACAGAAGTCTAAAAGTACGGAACCATCTGGTTTCACAGTGGGAGAACAAGATCTAAAGCAACAACCCCAACACCTTGGAAGATATCATGACAACTAAACTTGAAACAGAATACTCCTTAGAAATATTTGCACTAAATAACACTAAAACTTAAGTCATTTCTCTAAATGGCACTTAGATTGTTTTCTTTCCTAAATAGCACTTAATAATGTCCATAATGACCAGTGATGTCAAACATTTACTTGAATAATGACTAATGGATAATGACTAAAAGTACTGCGTAGGGAAAAAAACATATGTAGTGCTATTTAGGGAAAGTCATTATGTTTTAGTGCTATTTACGTAAATTCCTCTACTCCTTACAGCTAGAAAAAGTAAGGGTACATCAAATACTCCCTCCGTTCGGATCGGAAATGTTCTTCTCATTTTCTTTTTTGATCTGCCAGAAAATATTATTCTCATTTCCTTTTTAGGCTATTTTTTGAGGAAAATTTCAATAATATCCTTCCATTTTACTACTAATCTAATTTTTTATTTTTTTAATAGGACAAGAAGCTCGAAAAATTTATAGTACGTGCTTTTTTTTTTTGAAAACTTGGCATTTTTTGTTTTGTTCTTTCTTAATAAGCATGCCAATTGCCAAGTGAGCACACCAAGAACATTTCCAGCGGAGAGAGTACAAAAGATTAGGAATGCATGTGTAGAAATGTAGAATATAAAAAGTGTCTTAACTTTTAAAACGTGAAATCCATTGAAATAGTCTTGAAATGTGTGGGGTGTTCTACACTACTACGGGGCAATTACAAAAGCAAGACACAATGTTTTGTCCTGTATATCATGATCGATCATCACTTTACAAAATACTCCGTACTTACTTTTATGTCATAAGAGCATTTTGATTTTAGAATGGGGCAGACTTTAATTTAGCCCTCCCCATCATCTCTCACGTTATCATTTTTCTCGTTTTTAGTGTTAAAGATTGCATTCCACCTCCAAATTTGAAAAGAAACTAAATTGGTATAAAAGTTATTGAGTTGAAGTAATTTGATTGATTGAATTCAATCTTTTAATATAGTTCGATCCAAGTATCTTATGACCTAGTCCAACTAACCCTACCTCAGCTTATACTAAATTTTACCATGGTATCGGAGTGAGGTTTCTAAAAATTCTACAGCCGATTAGCACTTAGCCGTTTGCCGCTGTTGTTACCATGGTATCGGAGTGAGGTTTCTATCAATTACTCGATCGGTACGTATGAAATTAGCCTTGTGCAACACATAGATAATTAAACAGGGTATGTAAAATCAAAAATGCATGGGCTGTAATATATAATGATAAGGCTCTTAAATTACATCTCCACCTCACATGCATGCAATACATACATGCATGTACATACTCACATACATTTGCATATTTGCCTGGCAATTTTTATTGTTTTGTCGATTTTTTTTTTAAAATTTTTTTGGGGGNATGCAGGTAGGACTGCAGGAGCAGATATGGAAGTTGAATTGTTGAGTAGATCGATCATCAGACGGACGGACGGACGGACGTAATTAATTATATTAATTATTGGATGTTTTCCACCCCACCAATCGCTTGAGAAAATACATCACCTGTCCCACAACAATCATCATCATCATCACCACCACCACTCACTAATTTCATTAAATACATTTAGTCTCCGTTAATACACAGAATTGACTAAATTAGAATTGAATAAAAAGTTTAAATTTCATGAAATTAATTTTGATAAAATTTAATTCTCCAATTCTAATTCATTATTAACACTACCAATTCCAAATCTATACTCCCCTCGTCCCTAAATAAACTTTTCCTTTCGTTTTTTCTTTGTCCCCAAATAAACTCATCTTTTCTCTTAAAAACATCTTTTACCCCTTACTTTTTCATACCCTACCTATCACATCATACATTTTTACTAATAATCTACATATCACATCTTACTTTTATACATCACATCAAAGGTATTTTTAGAAAGTCAACATAAAGTGTAGAATGTGGGAATATGGGACAAGGTATGCCCTACAAATTTGTGCTTATTACCTCCAATGGGTCCTTCAATGAATACGAAGCATTGGTTTCTTTTGGAGCTCTGGAAACTAAGATTCCTATGCCACCTCCTCCACTCTCCCGCAAAACCTAGTACACACAACGTACGTCATCAATTCCCCATTATATTCCTTTCACTTTTCATTACTCGTATTTTAAACCACAAAAAATTGACGAGCTTATTTTTAATTTATATAGTTTTATAAATTGTGGTACGTACGTAGGATTGGATTGGGTGCGTACCTTAAAAGCATCCTCGTCCGTTCGATCATCACCAATATAAATCGGCAAAACATCCTCAGAATTCGCGAAACCTAATGCCTCCAACAAAAATTCCAATGCTTTGCCCTTGTCCCATTCAATCATCGGACGAATCTCCAGAACCTGTTTGTGTGTGTTTTTTTGGCAATATAATTACCCCATTTACCCATTAGATATAAGATATCTATATTACGGAGTACTAATTAATTCAGATTTTGTTTTCCTTAATGGTAGCTTTTAAAGATAATGACCTAATTACTGGATTTATGGTAGATTTTGTTTTCCTTAATTTCAAACAAAATCATAAACACCAGTCCCCCATTGATGATAATCCGATCCGATCCATATTGCTTCGTTTATGGTTGTCCCTCAAATTAAAGATGAGTCCTTTTGTCATATTCCATGAGCATACCATTAACATTTCACTTAATTATTTCCATTGATTTAAACTTTTTTGTTTGCTTTCACAATTATTATTTTTAAAAATCACCCTAAATTAGGACTAAAACATAGAAAAAAGTACCAAAATATAACTTTTATATTTTTTTCGAAATAGGACTTCACACTGTAGTAATGTGATATTGTACATATGCACATTACTATACTTTTTGGTGATGTACATGACCATGTTTGGTAATCTAAATGCATTTTAAGTCGTATTTCGAGAATAAAAACATGAAAGTCCTATTTTGGTATATTTTCAATGTTTTAGTCCTACATTGATATTTCTTCCTATTATTTTTGGTCAATTTCCACTCTTAAAAGTGTCCCAAGTCGAAATTTATATACACGGTTTGGATTATGAGAAAAGAGGAAGAAAGAAAATTGATGGTGAGAAAAGAAGCATTTTCACCTATTTGATTGGATGAAAAAATGAGTAAGAAGAGAGAAAAAACAATGGGTCCACGTACTTACACTACCAAACTTTCTTCTCCCATCAATTTTCTTTTCTTCTACTTTTTTCTCTTTTCTCATCCTTTTCTTATTATTTTTTATCAATCCAAACATTAATTTTTTCAAATCATTTTCTCACCATTTCTTTCCTTTTATTTTCTTCCCTTTCATTTTCTCTCTTCATCCAAACAAAGGCGTAGAAAAAATAAATTGGTATATAAGCTCTTGAGTTGAACTAAGTAATCGATTGAATTAAATCTTTTGAAAAAATAGAATAATTACATTCAATCCATTAAAATGAATATTTAACTTAATAAAATGCAATCTCTCTATTCTAAAAATATCTTTTCATTAAGTATTCATGAGGTCAAACTCATAGCTTGTTTCTTTTCTTTGCCTATTTTAACTCCTGTTTTTCTATTTGTAACAATTGATTTAATTTTAGAATATAAGTTTAAATTTACAAAATTACTTAAAATTTGAAACTAATTGATTTAAAACTAATTTAAGTCGATTAATGTAACTCAATAAAAAGATATTTTCAGGAATGAGATAGTATGTATGTATGTGTGTGTGTGTATGTGTGTGTATATATATATATATATATATATATATATATATATATATATATCGAGTAATTTAATTAATAAGTGTGATGTAGCTAGTGTTATATTCCTAATAAAATGAATTTTAAACTAATAAACCAAGATATATTTCATTAATTGTGTAAAATGTGGCCTTTGGTCTAGCGACATCATAACGGCTAGTGAGTCTCAAAATGAGAGGCCACAAGTTCAAATTCCATTAGGGCAGCAAGTGTATGTGTTTAATAGGTCAAGGAATATATAAATAAATACTAAATTATGTGAAATGTTATTAGTGTTCATCAAAGTTGTGTGGAATGTTAAACTAAATTATTATTGTACCTTCCTCCCTGTAGATAATCCAAGCTTTGGGTACTCATTGGTCACACCTTTCACTAGTTCACAAAGTTCATTCCATCTCTGCATATAGATGCATGGTAATATATATACATTACTTCAGTTTAATTTAAAAAGATGTTATTAATTACTCCCTCCGTCCCCCAATGTTTGTCCAGTTTTGACTTTTGAAACTGTTCATCTAAGCACTTTGACCCATCAAATTCTCTCAATGTGTAAGCTTAAATATAGTCATGTGTGATCTTGTTTGATTTGTCTTAATATATAGATTATTAATATATAATTTTTATATTTTTTTAATATACAAATTATAAGATAAAATGGATTAAAGAAGTGTATTGGATAGTGTGTAAAAATGAAAGTGGACAAATACTGGGGGATGGAAGGAGTACCTTATAATCCCTCTGTCCCATAAATTCTTTCTCCTTTCTTTTTTCTTTGTCCAAAAAGTCTTTCTCATCATTTCTATTTATCCATAGTAATTATTACTCTACCTATCACATCGTACCTTTTTACTACTCCTCCGTCCCATTTGAATCTTTCCTATTCGTGTTATGATGCTTGACCAACTTTTTTTTAATTTAATTTATTTATTTGTTGGTGTAAAATGAAAAAGTTAAAATTATACATTTAAAAACTTCATTAAAAGATCTACAAAAATAGATGTGACATGAATATTTTATTTTATCAAATTAGTAATAAAAATAAGGAAACAAAGTGTATAAAATTTGACCATGTGAATAATATATGTAAAGATTCAAATGGGAGGGAGGGAGTAATAATCTACTCATCACATCATACTTTTAGCTATCACATCAAGAGTATTTTTAAGAATTTACACAAAAATATCACTCTATTAACTTTTTGAAAAGTCAAAATGGGAAGAACTTTAAGGAACGGAGGAAGTATGTCTAAAGTTCATGTGTAAAAATATTATTGTTGTTTGTTCTTATATCTATCTCTTTGTATTACTCTTTCCGTCCCTGAAAATCTTTCTTTTTCTTTTTCATCTGTCTCAAAATACTTTTCTTGTTCCTATTAAAAGGCCACTTTCACCCCTCTTAATATAATTCTTAAGCTGCATATCACATCACGTCTATTCAATATTAATCTACCCATCAAATCTTATTTTTTACTTATCATATCAAGGACATATATTTTGAAACTCAATATCGAAATATAGTCCCCTAAAATCCCTTAAAAACTAAAATCTCTCATGTTTTCAGGGACTTGATAGATTATAATGCAAAGGAGTATTACTTTGTATTATAATTATAATAATAATAATAACAATATTATAATACTGATAATAATAATAATATTCATATAATAATGATAATAATAGTAATAATGATTATTATTATAAACAAAAATAAAAAGGGAGTAAAGGGCAAAACATTAATTAGTGTACGTACCTTTTCCTCGACACAGCGATAATGCACAGACAAGCAAAACTTGTTGTTGTCCACTTTAGCTCCAGCGACAGATTTGGTTTTCTCCAGTAATAAATTATATACCTGATTTTGAAATTTTACATAAACCTTTGCGCCAGCTTTAATAGGAAAGGGAAAGATCCAGTACACTCATTTTAGCTTACACAATCTGTCCTAAAACCAGGCATGTATTATTTGATCGACATGTTTCATTTCACACAAAACCTGATTTTCTTTATTATATATACATTTCACCTATTCAGGGAAATAATGTAATCATACAATTTTTACCTTAAACGATGAGTATTAATTATTTTTCTTAAATTATAAACTTTAAAAATTATATTTGTACGCTATGTTTGGTTCTAAGACTTTGGAAGAAAAAAAGAAAAACAATTTTTCATCTTTAGTTAGATATAGAAAAAAAAATTTAAAAAAAGAAGAAAAAGGAAATGACTAATGAGTAGACAAAATAAGTTAAAAAGAAGGAAAATTTAATTTGTTTCACTTTGGTGAGAATAATAAAAAAATTGTTTTTTCTTTTACTTCCAAATTTTATTGAACCAATTACATAAGGTTAATATCTTGAACTGAGGGTTCTCATGATCATGACATTTGAACCCCATTTCATTAGATGATCTGGGAGCGGTCTAGTGTCTCGTTCGTAAATTTATGGTTTCTATCCGTCCCAACCTCCCTAGCAAACCCCTCACCCGCCCCGACCCGAACACACTCTCACTCCAATTGTACCCCCTAAATTGATTTTGACTTTAGAGTCAATTTTGTCTCTAAAATAAAAATTAACTTAAAGAGTACAATTGAAGGGGTGGGAGTGCGTTCGGATCAAAACGTGATGGGGGATTTACCAAGGAGTTGCGGGAACTAGGAACCGTCAATTTTACGAACGGAACACGGAGAGCTCCAGAGTCATCTCACATCAATGTCATGGAACCATCTTGTATTTCGAAATGGAGCTGTACAAGAAAATTTACTAATTAGGGAGTGTACCTCATCGATCATAGGTAAAAATTCTTTGGCGGGTTGGTAGAGAACAGCCTGATAATATTTTTAAAAATCAGTATTTTTAAACAATATATATAAAATTCCAAAATTAATTAATTAATTAATTAAATGGATGGGTTGTTAGTCAAATCAAATGTAATTCTCATCACCTCGGCATTTCCTTCGGTTGGACCCTTGATGTCCATTCCATGGCTTCCAGCATAGTAAAGTTGAGATAACTGAACAAAATCGTGTACCTGATTTTTTTACCATAACAATTTATATATACTTATATGCAATTATAAGAAGAAAAAAATTTAAATATAACTCCCCCTCACGAGTCACGAATAAAGGGTGGGGCGTGGCATCATTGGATTGTGTGTGAGGGTATTATAGAGATTTAAAATTAAAAAGTAAGTTAAAAAAGGAAATGAGAAGAATATTTTCGGACGGAGGGAATACTTTTCAATTATTCTCAGCGTCTCAAAGTAAGGTTCAAACTTTTTGAATTTTCTCATGGGAAAAAGTAAAAGTTGTGACTTACGAGTACAATATTTTACTCGCCTAGATAAAAATCGACCATAAACTGCTTACGTTTTAACATTATTTTTTAAATTACGTAAAACTTAAATATTATAGTCATGTTTTTAACTAAAATTCAAATGAGTGATAAGAAATTGAAGTACTTTTTATACTTCGTTTTGTACACGGATTTCAAATTATAAAAACACATAGTTTGAAATTTGTAGTACCAAAATTGAATTGGAAAATTCAGTTCCATCCAAATCTATTCCGATCCATATAATTTCAAGTTCTAATTCGATTCTAGTTCATGTACCAAACATACCCTTATTAAACAATGTACCCTCAATTTCCTTTTTTGTGCTTATATTATACTCCGTATGCTACAAATATTTCATAAAGGAGAGATTAAAAAAAAATCACCTTTTCCCTGCTCCTCCCACTCACTATGGCCGTGGGAAAATGCTTTGCAATGCTCCTCACAGCTTCTCTCATCTATTCATATATATATATATATATATGTGGAGAGTAGTGCATTATTTTAAAAAAAAAAACAAAACAAAATACTCGAAAATTAAATAAATAAATAAATAAAAAGAACGCTGCTAAAAAAGTGCCGCGCCAATAAAGACAATTACCTCGTTAGTCATGAAAGCTTTGTCAGGATCATCAACAATGGAGGAGAGTGTACCATCATAATCAAGAAATATGACTATCTTCTTCCCTTTTGAACATTTCACTATTTCATCAAACATGCCCAGAGCTGAGGGATGACTCGACTGTTTTTTTTATAATAATATTTCACCAATTTCAAAACAAAAAAAAAAGAAAAGAGAAGAGGAATCACAATTAAGGATAAATTAAATTGTATTGTGCATGTACCCAAATATAAGAGATAATTAACTAGGACGGAAGGGTGACGATACTTATAAGAGATATATAATTAGTGGAAAATAATTAGATTGATTAATTAGTTTGAGATCGATGGACTAACTATCCAAGAGTGGTAATTATTATGATCGTCCGATCTTCGGGAGGGCGAAGAGTTCCTCATGGATTCAAACAATGCGGTGATGAAACGGCCACGAACGGGTGGCCCTGCGGTGGCGGGCACAGCGGCCGGCAAGGCTGCGCCGGGTTTTGGATCGGAAACCACCGCATTATGGTTAGTCATTTTTCTTTACTTGGAAGTTTGAAGGGAAGAGATGAAAGCATATATTAAGAAACACAATAGAATGGATGGTGGTGGAAATGGACGAGGAAGAGCCAAATTTATAGATGTGAAAAGTGTTGTTCGAAAAATGGAGGAAGAAACAATATTCTAAAAAACAATTTCACTTTTATCATTAACGAAATTTCACAATATATGTTTGAAGAATTTACTTAAATAGCACTAAAACAAAATGACTTTTCATAGATAGCACTACATGTGTTTTTCTTCCTAATATAGCACTTTTAGTCATTATGCATTAGTCATTATTCAAGTAAATATTCGTCATCACAGGACATTATGGATATTATTAAGTGTTATTTAGGGCGTAAAACAATTTAAGTGCTATTTAGGGAAATGACTTAAGTTTTGGTGCTATTTAGTGCAAATATTTCTATATGTTTAGCTCTCTAAATTCAATTCCAATTCCACCAATTCCTTATACCAAACGGACCCTAAGTAGATTCTTTTGTATTGATCGAGAATAGAAAATGTTTTTAGTACTCCATTCCATAAAATCTTTTTTATTTTGACTTTTAAAAGATTTAAAGAGAGTATATTTTGGTGTAAACTTTTTAAATATGTCCTTGGAAGTGTTAGGTAGATTAATAATTTCCAAATATGCCCTTGTTAATTTTTTCAAAAGTTTATTTAGACCAGATTATTTACAAACTAATCCTCACCATTTATAAATATTTCTAAACACTTTCTTAATTTTTCAATAAGCATGCACCATCACGAAGAAACACTTTCGTAATTTTGCTTATGGCCTCAAATGAACTAGAAACGATGCTCGTTTTAGATATGTATATGTTTGCAGAATTTACGTAAATAAGACTTGAACAAATCATTTTCCCCTAAATATGACCAATCATATCTACTCTAATGTTTGGCAATAGAAATTTCTAAAATATTCTATCTTTGAGAAAATATCTCATTACACAATTAAACAGACTAAGACATTGTTAAAAATAATTTGAGTAATAATTAAAATAGTCAGTCATTATCTAATATTTGTTGTTAATGACCACATTCAAAGAATCATTTCTATAGTCGGTCATTATCTAACACTTATTGTTAATGACGACATATATGACATATCATATTGAATTATGTGTCTTAAAAGTAGTGAAACAAATTTGGTCTTATTCAGGGAAATACACCACCTTTTGTGGGATATCATTTTAGCTCAAATTGAATTTCAGAAGGAAAAAAAAGAATAATAATTAACCATTGGCGGGGTAGGGTAAATGAAAATGGTTTACACTTTTTACTCCGATCCGTACTTTAATTAATCCCTAATATAGTAGAGTGCACTATAGTATGGTACAGTCTATATATGTCCTTTCACTGCTACTCCGTATTATTGTTCTTGTTTTGTTCGGTATTTCTTTCCTTCTCCTTTCTTTCTCGAGGTTCGTGCAAAAATCATTGAAACTTGCAAGGCAACTCAAAACAAAATATATACGGCATGGATCTCGTAAAGATGTTTTCATTTTTACTTTTAGAGAATTTAAATGTGGAGTAATGTGTTTAAGAACCCGAAACTTAAGAAAATAAGTAGAAAAGTTTCAAACAAAGGCTGAGTGCATTTTGGTTGCAAGAATATAGTAAGTATATTAACTTTGTAGCAAATGTGAACGTGTCTTCCCTCCTCCAGGGGAGGGGTATTGATACAATGCATTCTTCCATACATGGGCTTCCCACCCGTTAGTCTACAACCTAGTGGCTGGGCCCACCGAGATCAAGCCTTTTGATTGACAATACAAGAAATATGATTACAACCTAGGGTGGCTATAACTAACGTACAAGTAGTAGCTAGGGTGGCTACAACCAATTGTTGAGAAAATTTTAGAAATATTTGCACTAAATAGCACTAAACTTAAGTCATCTTCCTAAATAGTACTTAAACTGTTTTATTCTCTAAATAGCACTTAATAATGTCCCGTGATGACGAATATTTACTTGAATAATGACTAATGCATAATGACTAAAAGTGTTATCCTGAGAAGAAAAACACATGTAGTGCTATTTAGGGAAAGTCATTATGTTTTAGTGCTATTTAAGTAAATTCCCCAAAATCGTATCAGGGTGTCCCATCATGGGTCCGGTTATTAGACAAGGCATACATGCTCCCACACCCATAGTAGAACCACGGTGCTTAGCTAGTGGCAGAGGCCGAGTGCGCATGCTCTGTCGTTGGAAGACAGTCGAGTAAGGACCGAACCGGGTCCGCCCCAGGATTTGAGTGGATGTATCCGAGCTGAGCAGGGATACATGTCTGAGTACGATTGTTACCTTGAGGCCTTGGTTTCCTTTAAAGCCTTGCTTAAGTCGAGCGGGGCGCCCTTTGCCGAGCGTAACCGAATCCTTCGATTAGACGTGAGATATTTTTGTATTGGCTTCCAAAAATACCAGGTGTGATGGGTAAATATTGACGTGATAGATATATTATTAGTAAAAAAAATGATGGGATAGTTAGGTTAAGAATTAATAGAGGTACACGTAGTTTTTTAATAGAAAAGGGAAGAGATTGGGTAGAGATTTACAAGTTATTAGGAACGAGCACAATATGTGTCTCAAAAGAGACTAGTGACATCATAGTGCCAATTACATTGAAGCTAGTCTCTACAAACTTTAATATGTTGAAAATACATGAACAAATACTAGATATTATAAAATTATTAGTATTTCAAAAAAAAGAAAGAAAGAAAAGTGAACTATTCTCTTCGTCTCATACGAACTTGAAAACAATCCACATCTCTTTGTCCATTCTAAACTAAAAATAGGCTCTTCTTTCTATTTATAAACAATGTTTTGGGCTCATTATTTTTCTCCCATCTGCAGTATTTTTAATTGTATAATTTTTTTCTTAAGAAATATATCAATTTAATTATGGGGTGTGTTTTTATGAAACGAAAGAATTATATTTACTACGTATACTCGTAATACTTAAGAATTGGTGGATGACAACCCCCGTACTCCGTCTACTCGTATATACTCCGTAATTGTTTATGCGCGCATGATCGACGAAGTTATGCACGCACCACTATTGTTGTCTTGTCCAACTTTTATTTCCACATGCCCCAAAATGCAAAGGGTATCATTTTTCCAAAAAAATAAAAAAGAAATTGTATTCTAACCCAAAATTTTTCGGGTACCATCCTGTTTTAAAATTTTCATCTTTCATTTTTTTTTGAACAAAAAACTTCGGTTTTCTATTAAAAAGTTTAACCAAAGAAACAATGTCATTGGATACGCGTCAACAAAAACGCTCGGTCTGAACATGAAAACCTTCATCTGTGCAGCATACGAGCAAATGCAAATCATAACAAATCCAATTCCAAATTTAATCACTCACTTTTAATATTAATATTTTTTTTAATTTCATGAAGTTAAAAAAAGATGATGATGATATTAATTGAAGAGGTATTTCAAATTAAAAGTGTGACACCGAAAGTATATATTCTAATAGAAGAGATGAGCGAGAAATGTGAAACCAAGACAAAAAAAGGAAGATTTAGGAGGTACACAGGCAAATATTAGGGAGTACTATATTGATCGCCCAATGGGCCACAGTCCACGCGGTGCGTGGTTGTAATTCCCATATTTGGAGAGTTTGGGCCGGCCCCATTATAATCATTTGGCCAAATTCCTTACTATTTTTGTTAATAAAAACACGAACAACTTGCAAGCGTAGTAGTAGTTTGTCTAAAATGATGCATCAGATGCTCTCTTTATTATTGAAACGTTTTAGACGGAGGACAGTCACAGTCTGACGACGTCGTTCCTCACTTTTTATTAGCCCCAGCTGATGGTGCACCTCCCACTTGCTATGTGTGCCCTCTCCCAAACAATTTTGGGCTTCCAAATTTTGTTGGAATAATAAAATACAATTATGGAGTCAAATCATTTTTGGAGGCCTAAATAACAATTTAATCTAATAACGCCATTAAAGCTTATTGAGTGACTGTGCGTGACGAATATTTTGATAAATTATGAATCTATAATGAATGTTTCTATGGTGCACTTTGTGTGCATATTATTTTTATGGGTATTTTCACATTTTTTTATTTAAAAAAATATATGCTTTTTAAAGTAGTGAGGAAATGCTTATTCTGTTCATATGTACATTACCATCTAAAATATACTTTCTCTATCCAATAATAAAGTTTTCATTTTGAACGATGTTCAAAATTCAACAGTTTTTAAAATCACTTTATTTATACTTTTATAAAAGAGTATAAATTACATTGTTCAAGACCACATCAAAAATTCTATTCCTTCCGTTATTGGAAATACTTTCACCCTAATTTTTTCGCACTCCACAAAATACTTTTACTCTACCTAAAATATCTAAAATACGTTCAAAACAATTTCTATCCGCAATAAACTACATAATGAGATGTGTTTTAGATATTTCAGGTGGAAGTAACAGTATTTTTGGGGTGCGCAAAAAATTAGGGCAAAATTATTTTCAAGAACAGAAATAGTGCAAAATAAGATATGACTGTATTATTTTTTTCTTATCAAATGATTGATGAAATTATGCAAACAAACATAAGTTATCGAGAGCGTGTAATAGTAACTTGAAAGTTCATTATTGGACATGGGAAATATATTTAACTGATAAATAATCATTTAGTGCTTATAGTAGAACCATTGAGTGGTAACACTAGTTTTAAACTGAATTAGAAAGAAACTGCATTAATACGAAATACTCTATTAATCCAACATAATATTTCCTCTTTCCTTTTTAATGTGTACCAAAAAAACTTTATATTTCAATTAAAACAACATATTTACCTTGTTAATTCTAAATCTACTTGACATATTATGTTTATTCAAGCCTACGATAAAAGAAATGTAAAATGGAAGAATAACACCAATCAATATTGCACCGCTCATATTTCACCCCTACAGTACACGAGCCCAAACAGTATATATGTGAATTTGTTTACACAAGCCCAAACAGTCCAAAGATATTTTGACTATAAATTTGTTTTGGGTTTATCTTGGGTTTAAAACAAAAATCAAAATGGCCCATTATGGTTTAAGTGGAGTCAGAATGACGGGCCGGCCATATTTGATCCAAATGATTGGGCCTGGATATATATTGTAAAGCCCGGTAACTATTCTTGGCCTAAATTCAAGAGCTGCATAGAACCATACAAGTGACAAAGCAGAGGAGCGGTAGAAATGCGTCATATCAGTAAAATTGTACAGAAATTTAATTCATTCATAAATCATTAAAAAAATAATTTAAAATAAGATTCGGAGGAGAAACTTAAACGCCTCCGTCGGCAATCGGAGATCATTCGACGGGGCGTTTAAAGCCTTTATGATCGTCGATTTCTTTTTCCAA